ATTACGTGCCTCGAGGTTTAAAGGATGACTAACAAGTTGGGCGATAAAAAAAAATACGGGAACGTGTCGCGTACGATCCTTACACACTTGTACAATTTATACAAATTTGCGGGACATCGTTCGACCGTAGCGTAACGGTATGCACGAATATATCGATCCGCAACGGTCCCGTTCTCGTGTAATCCTCCTTCGTATCCTTACGGTTATCATATACAGTTCGAGTTGGGCACCGTTAACCGACTTAGCTTAGCTTCTATTAAGTTTCTCGTGTAAAAATTGATTGGCAAATTCTCATCCAAATACATCGTCCGATTCGGTTGAAGAAACTCGATCGCTCTTATTTTTCAAGGGCTTCGGCGTTTGGATACCGTTTGTCCAATGAACGCGTTATCCAATCGGTTCTCTCTTCGTTATGTATATAGCCACGCTGTCCGGAATGATATGATACTCCCTGGTAATCGGAAATAGTGAGTAGATTCTGGGATAAATGCGTATTTTTGCGAGACACTTGAAATTGGCGAGATTTAAAAGGAAAGCTTGAACACGCTTGACAATGAGAGATGGAAAGATTAATGAGAAAATTAGTGAGAAAATATGCGGAATAATTATGTAAGAGTAAGTTATGAATCTGATTTGGATGATTTTATTTAAATTTTTTAAATATCGATGGCTCTTGTTTCATAACGATGCTTTCGATATAATTTTATCGAATCGTTTCTTTTTTTACATCTATTTATAAACAATACGTGTAATTCTCTGGAGTTCTCTGAAGTTATTATAATTCTTGTTATAATAAAGTGTAGATAGATAAGTGTTGTTATAGGTTTTTATTTTTGCAGAGGAATGAACGATCTAAGTGGAATAGTTGCGTTTGTGGTCAGCCATGGCGTTGAACATTCTGGAATTCGAATAATCCTCTCTCCACTCGTTTCGTATTATAACGTTGATCGTAACAGGTTTAATAAACTTTCACGCGACAATATGATTGAATACGATTCCTCTTGAATAAATATCAAGCACTCATAAAATTAACGCGTAAGTATTTATAAAATAAAATAAATTGATTCGTATTGGTGTATTAAATAGCGAAAAAACGAGATTAAAATCTTCGGTTAAACATTAGAGCCATTGCACTTCACTCACCGCGAACCACTCGGACGATTTCCATTAAGATAATTATATCGATATGTTCTTAATACAATGCCGGATCGAGGGATAAATATAGCAGCGAAGTGATTGTACGAAACTGGTCAGTGTAGGACGAAAGCGCGAGAAAAGGACTCGATGAGTCATTCAGACGAGTCATTGTATCCACTATATAGTATTAACATATATCGATTCTCCTTGCCACGATGCGTAATCTCTTATATCGTTACTAATGCCATCTACCTCTTCTTTCCTTCTTCTTTTTTTCCACAATGTCACACTTCTAATATTTTCTAACTTTCCAAGTTGAACGCGCTCTATTCCCAGTGAGAGAAGATTACGAGGTATACGTAATTGAAAGAATTACTACTATAAAATAGTAGTAATAACAAAACTAATAATAAAAAGTAAAAATATGATAAAATTTCGATATTAATCCTGACAAATTCAATAATTTTCTTACTTAATAAACAATAAATGTAAGCAACACGATTACTTTCTAAGTGAAGTATTCTATTCCTATAAAATGTAGTAATAAAATTAGTTGTGAAGAAGCAAAGATACCTCTACTATTTTTTTTTAAAAAGCTTCGATGTTCTAATAATTTTAATAATTCTCTTCACTTTGCCTTAGACGCTCGAGAAAAATAAAATATCGATCGGAAGAGAAAGAGAGAGAAAGGATATATCGGAAAAAGAGAAGAGGGAAATAAGATTTCGCATCGCATCTTTCGATCGGCCAATTCGTGATCCGTGATGGAGGGGGGAGGGCAGATTAGCGTGAAAGGTTTGAAGGGATGGTGTCATTGGACACGTATGTGTATCCTTTATGGTATCGTGTCAGCTGGATGTGTCGGTTCGCCACGCGTAGCGAGATTAGAAGGTAGCGATTAGAGTGAGCGCTTGTAGACATTTGCATATCGCGGAGCCTCCTATCGCCCCCTCCGTCCCCCCCTTCGACATTGTTAATTCCTGAATACGCTACTGTGGACACAGATTCGCAAATTCCACGGCATCCACGGCTGATCTCCACGTGTATACTTTACCCACGTATTTTCACACCTGAGATAGAAATATCTCGATCACTTGATGTATATATATATATATATATATATATATATAGGGTGTCCCAAAAATGAATGATTGGAATATTTATAAGCCGGATATTCTTGAGGTAATTTCAAGCAATTTTCAAAAATTTTGTAAAAATTTTTATTGATTAAATAATCGAATTATATCACGAATAATGGATAAATAAATAAATATAATATTCTTCGAGATATATTGATTTGATATTTTTTTTTTGTTAATAACTCGTTAATAATAAAGCCGTAACGAAAGGATTCGCGATGGAAAATGTTGCTTGAAATCATCTCGGGAATCTTCAATTTACGAATGTTCCAACATTTTTCGAGACACCCTGTACACCCATGGAATATCGAGGTCGCGAGAAAAATGTAGGAATCTTGGGAGAATCCTGATGATCGATGGAAATGAATAATGGCTTGACAGATGCGCGAGCATAATAAGCGTTTTCTACTTTTGTGGAGAATCGAGTTACAGGAATTGGATCGAGTGAAATTTAAATTTGAACTCGATGAAATAAATTTTGATGGTCAGTGCAATTTAGCAATTTCTTTTTGAAATTTTAAGTAAGTGAAACGAGATTAATTTTATCATTACATTTTAGATATTATTTTAAATGTAAATGATAAATTTCTGATAGAAATAATTTAACAATAAATGTATGCTACAATTGAAAGCAGTTTGCACGAATTATCCACTTCAAATTCGATACTACGTGTCTCACACGCGCTAAAGGATTTTTAACGCGTGTAACACGCACCGAATGAGCAAACGAAGAATGCAGGTGATGGCTATAATTCATTGGAAAGGCTGCTTGTTACGCGCTATTGAACAACGAATGAAAACGAATATTCGAGCAGCGTGTATAAAACTCGTGCGTCAAATTTTAACTCGTTTGTTTAATTGATCGTTTAGAAAATCATTTTGCGCCGATAGCGATCGTGTTTTCTCTCGAGAGAAAGAAATTTCGAAGAAAGGGATGGATCGAGTTTAGATATCTCTGAGACCTGGAAGATTTAACGAAAAATTGGCAATATTCGATATATATATCTATATATGTTTATGGATGTTTAACGTGCACGATACAAACGTATAATAAATATTCGTAGCCTAATTATGAAACTAATCACCGAGATAACGAGGAAAATGTTAATGTTGCAAAACAATTCGGCACGATACATTGAACCGCAACATTGAAATATCACGTGCAATTAGCATACGCCACGCATAAATTACCACGCAAATTAACTTATGCAACGCAAACATAACGTACAGCTTGTTTGCAAATGATCACCCACGTCGCGTACACCGAACAATATCGGATCACACGCGGATAAAATTTGAATAGGCGACTGACCATCAACCGTATCCGATATCCGAAAAATTTATAATATCCAACTGACGGTTTGAAAAATTAAAATAAAATATATTTAGTTTAAAAATTTCCAACAAGAAATTTCGTCGGCTATACTTTCACCGTTCGAGTAATAATAATAAATTAATCATCTTTCGAGAGAAAAGTGAATTAGTAGCGTTTATTCTCGTCTCGGAACACGCACCAACAATACCACAAAGATAACACGAGAACCGTTAAACTGGTCACGTTTATTTTTAACCGCGGGTGGTAATTAACACGCGTGACCTCGCTTTTAATTACACCACGTGGCCGTCTACCCATCGCTGCATTACACCGCCGTGTAACCGTGTGCCGCGTGGTTCAACGCGATAGATCGGGTGCGACGAATCGTAGTAAAAACGAATCGATGCCCGGTCCTCGTAAATGTGAGCGAACGTGGGCCAAGGCGAACAAAGAGGGCCGCGTTAAAACCGGGGAGATACGTTGGAGTGGTAGGACAGTGTGGGTAGCGGTGGCACGACTTATATGCATCGATGCACGCGGGACACGCAACCGGTAAGGTAGGAGACGGAGCTCGCCTCGCTGTATTAGTCACCGTTCAACTCGCGGCTACGCGACCCGAACCATTGAAATTTTCAGTCGCATCGTGGCTATCGATTCGCAAAATGGCCGATATTTATACATCGTGACGCGTGTGTGTCTTTCTCCGCGAGCAACGTGATCGCTCGAGGAACGTGATCGCGTGCAAACTGCGGCGAAAAACTGAACCGCCCCCTTCTCCCCTCTTAAACGTGTATTCGAATCACGATCTCCGACTCGAGTCGAGTGCCCGAGGAATCTGTATCTAAAGTGTCTCTCTTGTATTGAAAGTGAAATCGCGTGAATAAGTCGTTCTTTATCTGCCTCCCCTCTCCCCCCTCCGCGCCTTTTTATTCCATTCGCGTGTATATTCGCCGATTGAATCGAAAAGTTGGTATGCTAAGTGAAAACACGGTTGGAATAGGGATGTAATGGACATAGATTTTCGCCGATTTTCCGCGATCGATTCGTTTCTTTTTCTTCTTCTTCTTTTTTTTTTTTTTTTTTTTTTCTTTATTTTCTATTCCACGCTTCGAGCAAGAATTTTTAGTTGGAACAGTGGAATAGAAAAGAGACCGTTAATGGCCGTTGTTTCGCACGAGGTTTGGAGTTTGACGAATTTTCTTCTCTGTTTCTCTGAAAATAAGAGTTTGTTTTATACTTTTTGCAATGCGCTCACTTTAAAACTTTGAATTCGTGAATTTCATTTTCTATCTCTCGAGAGAATTAGAGTTTCTAAAGTTAGTAAAATAATATAAAATAGAATGAATTATATTTTTTTCTATTTCACGTTTTTGACGAGAATAAAAGTTTAGTTCGTTGTAACGGACGTTTCTATTTCGTGCTTCCGTGAAATTAAGATTTTATTATAGTTCTTGCAATGCGCTCGCTTCGGAATTTTATATTTTATTTTGTAATTCTCTCGAAAGAAATATGGAATAATTTCTATTCCATATTTTTTCGACGAATCTTGGAATTCGATGAATCTCACTTTCTCGCTTGAAACCCTCGTCGGTAGCGATTGGACGCGTATCGAGGTCTTAAATTCCGAGAGAAAATCAGGATAATTGCGAACGGGCGGAACAACGTAGTAGCCAAGTTCCGTCGGGATCGAGTCCACTCGCCGACATTCTTCGAGTATGGAGATTAATGGTGGACATTAGAAGGGTGTACGTGGGCGTTCGTCAAAACGAACGGTTTCTGCGACGGTGGAAGCCGCTTCCACCGCGCACGTAACAAGTGCCAGGGCATTGGCGTAGGTGCTCGTTTCACGCTTGACGGCCGTCAAAGCGTGGTGGTAGAACGCGTTTCCCATTTCATTCACGATTAAAACTTTATGCTAATCGAGGAGCCACGCTCAATTATCCCCCCGTTATCGATTGATCAACGTCCATCGTTTCGAATCAAACGATTGTTTAATTCGAGAATATTCATTTGGAAATTCAAGTGGAAAAATTGTATTCGATTAATTTTCAATTTTTCTCTCTTCTTCCCCCTTTTCTTTTCCTTCTCTTTTTAAAATCGAAATCATCATCGCTGAAAATTCAACACTCGCCGAAGCGTATAAATCTACTTATTCGCGTTAAGAAAGATAAATTATTCCGATTATATTTCATGGAATTATACGGTCTCTGAATTTCAAGTTTTTTTTTCTTTCTTTCTTTCTTTCTTTTTTTTTTCTACACAGTAGATTAAATAGACGAAACTTATTTAACATTCGCTCGTGCTTCTCTCAAACTTCCTCTCTGGAAATATAGTACCACTTTCTTTCCTCTTCTGCGAGGCCGCAATGGGGAGGACGTTCTTAAACTTTCGTCAGGGATTTCTAAATACGCGGACACAACTCTTGCATATTTCACTCGCGTTAAACTTGTGGGACACAGGAAGATATACAAAAGTGCAGGAGAGGCGTGCGTACTTGCACGTCACGTGACCATCATAAAATTCGAAAGAAGTAGAACGATTAAATTTATTTCTCTCTCGTTTTCGAAGCATCTCTATACCCGTTCATCGAATCGACTTAAAAAAATATTCAACTCTGAAGAAAAAAAAGAATTTTCCTTCTTTCGAGACTTTTCTTTGTTCCAGATAAATTCGTTTAATTAATCTCTTCAATAGGAAAAAAAGAAAAAAATTCGTACGCCACGATGCAGGAACGAACGAATATTAGATACACGAATAGCGTGTTGATTGGACCCCCCTCCCCTCCCTTCTTCCCAATAAAACAATAAAGACTCGAACTCGTGCGAGTCTGAAAGCGACGTGGATCGCATAAAATTACACGGTACGATCTCGATTTCGAGGCAATGATCTTGCTGAAAAACATGGCGATCCGTGCCAACGATGGGGAAAATTTAATTGATCGAAGTTACGAATGACAAGTTACTTCGACAATTTATTTACTTCGAAATATTATTTATAATATTATTTGTAATAATAATAATAATAGGAAATAATGGCCAAGAATCGGATCGACTAATAATCGAACAAATGTTATTTCAATAGTCAAGTAATTTGCTCAAAGTAAACTTTTTGCTGGAAATTTTTAACCAGTCACTTTTTCAACTTGGATTAATACCCAACTTGGAAACGCGATGATCGATTTCTCTCAGAAGTAACTCTCTCTCTCTCTTTCGAAAGGGAATCGCACGATGATATATCATCGAGCCAATCTTTGAACACCGTGTTCCGATTTCACGGTATATTACCGTAATATCAAGTATTTCCGTTCCGTTGCGTTAAACATTCCGACGATGAAAATACAACGGAGAGATTAGATTTCGATCTCATCGAGCTCTGGCCGTATTTCTAGATACGTGAAAGAAAAAAAAAAAAATAATGATTTATTATACGTAACAGGAACGTGTTACCAACCAGTGGAGAAATTTTATAACTTTTTATAATTACTCGAGTGGATTGGAAACATTTCATCGTCAAGATTCAAGCTGATTTATTATCGTTTGTTTACTTCTTGGATCTCGAAATCGAAATCGAAATTCCAATTTTATAGGGATTTTAAATGTAACGTGCGTATCCGTATGAAAGAATGGAGTGTTAAAAGTTAACGGGTTGCATCGCAAACAACGTGGAGGATGGAAGGTTGGAAAGTGTTGCTTCTCCTCGCGTTGCTCGTGGGGCAACGAGTCTACTCGACTACTGTTTCAACGGTGAGTGGAACCACCAGTCCAGATTCGACGAAATCTTTTCAAATCTTCTTCTTCGACGCTAAGTAATGAGATCGAGCTGTGTCGTACATATTCATCAAACTCCGTTAAGATCGGATCGAATCGCGATTAATCACTGTGTTGGGGAGTGTCAAAGTTCGGTGGACGAGACACGTGGGATATAGAGGCGAGAATGGCTCGATTAATTTCGTCGAGCATCGTCGGACTGTGTGCGGTTACGCGTCGAATAAATCCCATTTTTATCCATATTATCGATGGAAAATCGGTTTTCATATTTTATGATACATGCAAAGATGGCATGTTGCGCGTAAATTCGAAATAGCGGCCATCAAATGCACCCGTCAATCCACGCGCCATCTACGTGTCTGCGTTAAATCTATCTCTTTACGACTCCGCGATCGAACGCGTGTGGAGGAAGATTGGATCGAAAGGATCCTATACGGGAGATAGAGATAGAGAATCCCTGGTCCTCGATCGAACTTTGGTTGACCTTCGATTCGGACAACGAGGCAACGGACACGAAGTCTCAGATCTATACATTTGATTCCACATTTGATCGATATTTCCGCCGATTACACGAGGGGCTAGTTGCAACAGCTGGCTGCTACAGGTGTGGCTCATTTGAATATTATGTGGAACAGCTGGTCCACATCTTCTCGAACGTATTGTCCTTCGTTCCACCGAGCAGCTTGGTGGAATAAACCTGCTCCAAATATGTAAATGTTATGTTTCGTGTACGCTTGTTCCATCGGAATCCGTGCGCTCTTATAGGTTTATTCAAATCCACGTATCCGAATGGGGAAGGAAATAAGTATCTGGTATTTACGACTTTCACGTTGAAAATTTATTCCCATTCCACATTTTATACATTGCAATTTTTTTTTTCACGAGATCAAAATTTAATAAACCAATCCAGTTTTCATCATCACCGAATTTCGCACGGTCGAGAGGTAATAATATTTCTCCGATTCCGAAACGCAATATCGCAGTACGAGCGAGATAGTATCGCGCTACAGTTACGACAATCCAGAGCCACGCCCTATATTCACGACACGAAGGAAGGAAGAGAGGAGAAAGAACAAGGGTCAAAGCGAAAGAGAAAAATTATTCGTGCTGGTGTTTCGCGATGGCTTTCTCCTCCACCTTTGGAAATTCTTCTGAAACTAGGCTCGATATCGGTGAATACAACACAATCGTTTCGCGTCGATTTACGAGGGGACATTACAGCAATTGTTCCTCCCCCCTTTACGTATTATCTCCCGCATAATTTCGCGTCGATTCGAGAGGATAATCTGGGCTAGGGAAACGAACGCGTTTGACCGGTTGCGTGGTGCAAGCTTGACCGAGTTACCTAATAATTTTAGATCGTCGAGCCGGCATGAAATTACACGGCATTACATCGCTGGTTGATGGACACGCGGTTACGTGATATACAGCTTTTGCTTGTCGTCCGTTCCTTGCCGAGATGGAGATTATGCCATTCGATTAAGCTACTTGGAACGTTTAATTTTTCTGAAGTAAAATCGGTTGATTCGAAAATTAAGCTTAATTTGGTGTTATTGTTCACCGATGGAAAGAAGGCGTAGAATACAGTAGAAGAGCTATTATAATTTAAATATTCAAAAATCAGTATGTAAAAATAATGAACGTTAGGATAATAATCGTTTAATAAGCTATTAATTATTTTGATATGATAATAATATATGTATATAGTAATAGTATTTGAATTCTTTGGATTCTATGCCTACGTTTTAGTGCATCGAAGTTTGGATATAGATAGTCGTTTCGATATACGTGACAAATACCATGGTAGAAACAAGAAATACGTGTGTAAAATAGACGTTTCCTTCCAAATTAGATCGATCAGACCCGCATTCCTTTCCTTTCTTTCCATCAGTGAACAATATATAACATTCGAATTAGCGTCAATGTGAAATCTAACATAACCTCTCTGATCATTTCTATCGTTCCTTCGGCTTAAATAAACTCACGAAACACAACTTCCTTTCACAACACATACGTATCTACTGTTCACTGTTGGAAAGAAGTCTCGCGGGACAGCAGAGGGGCAAGAGGGGTCCTTCGCTAGGACCATTTATCCCCACTTCAAACGTTTTGTTTACAATCCTGACACCATACGCTACGCAATAGAGTTACAATTTTAATGTTCAAATTCATGTAAAAATTATTTTCATTTATATACATTTTATTTATATACATTTTATAATTATATTTATAAATTTAACTATCGTTACGAATCGTAATTGGCCTTAAGCATATTATAAGGAATAAACAAATTTTTGTATTATATCGTTAGAATACTTTAGATTTTATGCCTGCGCTAGGACCGCCTATCCCCACTTCACACGCTTTGTTGACAATCGTGATACTGTACACATATAAAACTTGAAGTCGAAATATTTTCGAAATTATCTATAATATGTCCAGCTTATTTTTACAATTATTATCTTAACTATTTAAACTAATAAACTGTCGTTACAATAATTAGCCTACGCAAATTGACGAGAAATAAGAAAATTCTTTGGATTTTATGCCTACGCTCTACGCGTAGGTTTAGATGCCAAATGGTAGAAACAAAAATAGGCGTTTTCTTCCAAATGAGACCAATCATTCTTTCCGCGAGATTTCTTTCCATCAGATATATCGATGAAAATTCAATTTGTATTGAACAAATGTGGAAAATTTCTTCTCCGTTTTTCATGCTGTTTAGAAATCCAATGACGCATATGTCATTCACGTCGTACAGAAGAGCGTGAAATTTGCGCTCGAAATGTGTAATGTTAATCGTATTAACGAATCGTAACCGCAACAGCGATGCTCGCTTCGTTAATTAATGGCGGAACGAGTAAAATAGGGGGAGGGGGAAGAAAAAACAGACATGATAAACCGTTTGTTCGTAGGATCGTGCGAGGAATGTGTCTGAAAGGTTTACGTCCACCACTACACTGACGGTGAATATCAGGGACGACGATGATCAAGATCCTTCGTTCATCTACCAAGGCTGCATGCTGCTGGACGGCGCGTGCATTAATCCGGAATATTCAGCGTCGGTATGCGTACATTTATTTCCTTTAACACACAGTTATGAATTATATATACGCGTTTGAAACTCATCGAGAGAGTGAAGCTCGTCGAGATGTAGACGTTGCGCGATAATAATGTTCTCGAGGGATGAACGTTGTGCGACTCGATCGTTATAACCGATTAAAAAAAAGAATCCTCTCGCATCCTTGGAGCACAATGCTCAATCTCTCTACGAATCTTTCTTTTCCATTTCAAAATTTTTTCCTCTTCCAGATCAATTTCGAATTTAATGCATACAGAGTTTGATTCCTTCCAACTTTTGCCCAAACAAAAATCGAAACTAGTTTTAACCAAGCGGGCCTCCATGTAACAATCGACGCGACTCTCTCTCTCTCTCTCTCTCTCTCTCTCTCTCTCTCTCTCTCTCTCTCTCT